TAACAAAAATATATAACAAACATAAACGAAATAATGGTGTTACAAATTGATTAATGTTTCTACAAAAAATTAAAAAACAAAATTATTTCTATGCCAGGAGAGGTGGTTCCACTAGCTCCTACTCAGCTGGAGGAGGTGGCTGTGTTGGCTGCTGCTCGTCTGGCAGAGGAGGCTGTTCATCGTCGGAGGGAACTGGATGAATCTCCACTTCTGGAACTGGTTCGCTCTCATCCACTTCAGCTCCCTCCACTCCTGCCTCCACCTCGTCTCCCTTTACCTCTGCCCCTTCTTCTTCCACTGCAATAAACTTGAAGTCGAACTGGGGAGGGAATACAGCACGTCCGTTTGCATCATGCTCCCACCTCAGGTTGATCTGAGGACGGAAGTCTGCTGACATGCTCTCACCGTCTTCCTCCAGTCCTTCTTCTTGCTCTCCGAAGGTGATCTTCGTAATATCCACTTCGGGATATTCTGCCTTCACCTTCTTCCTGCAGTCCGTGAATGCAATGATGGCGGTGGGCAGCCAATATAAGTTGACGATGTTGTCAAACGAGCTGGAGTTGATGAAGTTGCTGATGTGCTCCTTCATTCCATTATGCACCAAGGTCTGCACATTCTCCTTCAGCTCCAAGAAAACCTCCTTCGTCAGCTTTAGTTCTTGCGCCTAAGCCTCACGCTCGCTTTCAGAGATCCTTCGTTTGCTCTCTTCAAAGACGAGCTTGGTGCTCAGGGAAGCCCTCTCTTGCTCCAACTGCTTCACAGTAGGAACCACCTCGTTCAGCGACTCTTGCAGTTCTTTGTTTCTCTTCTCCACCTCCTCCTTCTCCTTCTGCAGCTGGTCACACTGCCTCTGCAAGAGTGAGCGCTCCTTCAGGCTCTCCCTGAATTCCTGGGCTAGTCCATTCACCCAGCTCGCGCTCTGCAAATCAAAGCAGAGGTTAAGAGAGAAAGAAGAGAAGGCAAAACAGATTAACTAAACAACCTCAATACTTTAACATACCTCTAGAACGTGCTTCACAACGGACGCTCCACCATACCTCAGAGCTTCCTCCCGCGCGTTGCATCTGTCCACTTCGAGGAAGGTGCTATTGATGAACCACCTAACCCCCGTCATGTTCTTCTCCTCGAACAGGCTACTCTGAGGCCCTAGCCGGGGAACAGGCCCCTTTCCCTTACCAGGAGCTCGTACCTCAGCCCCCTCCTCCAACTGTTTGAGCTCAGGGTTCAACTCAACAGGAGGAGACTGAGGTACAAACTGTGGTACCTCTTCCCTCCTCTCCTCCTCCACCACTTTCTGCTTCTTCTGCAGTGCCTTCCTCTCCTCCCACCCCTTCCTCTTCAACTGTGGCACCTCCTCCTCTACCTTAGCTAAAGTCGTGGGCACTACCTCCTTCCTTGCCCTCTCCTCATCCATTTGCTTGGTTGAAGTCTTTGACTTCTTCCTTGGCTTCTTGGGGATGGCCGCTCCTCCAGCAGTGTTTAAAAACTTGTCCATTTCAGCTGCAAAGCAAGAATACACAATATTAATCACAGTTATATATTCTGCATTCAGTACTACAATGCAGAATTAAACCAACCTTCACTCAAAGCGCTTGGTCCATAGAGCTCAGCAGCTTCTATGCATTGTGCGCTGGTGAGGTCCATTATGTTTAGTAAATCCCCCATCTTCTTCACCAACTTCCTCACTTCTTCCTCCTCATCCTCATTCAAACTAAACCTATTCTGGTTGGCCCTTTTAGCCTTCCAGGAGGCTAGCTCCCTCACCTCGGCATCCCCTCTCCCCCATTCCGTATCATCCACAAAAAAAATTTTTCCTTCCATCCTTTAATGGATGAAGGACCCGCTGTGAATAAAGACCTACTCTCCCTATTGGCTACCCTCGGGGTGAAGTAATACCACCCCTTATCCCTCCTACTACCTCCCTTTAAAACAAAAAAGTACTTAAACATATTTACGGTTGGCACACTAATCCCCTGAGCTCGGCACTAGACTAAAAATCCTATTATTACCCTCATAGCATTGGGGACTAATTGTGTCAACCCTATCTTGTAATCTAATAACAATCCTACCAGCAACTCAGG